CACACACACACACACACACACACACACACACACACAGACTCACACACAGACTCACACAGAGAGAGAAAGAGAAGGAGAAAGAAAGGAAGAAAGAAAGAAAGAAAGAAAGAAAGAAAAAGTGAGAGAGAGATGAAAGAAAAAAAGAAAAAAGGGACAGAGAGACAAAGGGAGAGAGGGGGTGAGAAAACACATGGCTGGCAAGCCACTCGAACCTGGTCACATGGCCAGCAAGCCACTCCCTCAAAGGAGGCCACACCCACAGAGTAGGTTCGAAAAATTTTTGAAACCCACCACTGGGCCAATCACCTTCCACCTGTGACTTTACTCTCAAGTCTACCCTGATTTCTGAGTTGTTCTTTTCTTCTGGCAGCTCCGTGCATGCGCACACTGGGAACAGGCTCTAGTTGTTCCTCTGCCTCACTGCTGTCTAGCTCTGTAGGCACCTGATCACTGCCAGATGAACTCAGCTCCGTCTCTGCCTCTGAGCCAGAGCCCTCGTCCGAGCCTTCCCCAGCCTCCAAGACTGGCCCAGGTTCCTCCCCAACCTGCTCACTGTCCACCTCTGTTGCTAGCTCTGCTGGCCGCTAGCGGAGCCGCAACATAAAGCTTCTGTTGTCATCAAATCTTGTCTGGTTTCATTGGACAATCTTCATCCTCCGTTATTAATGGCTTTGTTGGGATTATAGCCCAACCTATTAAATTTCATTTGCCCGACATGCCTGAACCTGATGCAGAATGTGTGTTGTTATTATTTTTAGCAATTTTGTCCTCCACTAAATTTCTACAAGATCCACTCTATCATCTCCAGATGATCTCCAGGCAAATGAAGGATTATGTAGCTTCCCCTCATAGAGTTGTATTTGATGTCCTTTCAAATTGCACACTCAAGAGCTGTGTGACAAGACATTCATCAAATTGTTTAGTGGGCTCTCCACTGCCTACTCTAGCTAGCTTTGTTTGGTATCAACAGTTACTGCAATCAGAGTAGACTTGCTATGCGTTGAAAAAGAAGGATAGAAGTGGAGGAAGAAAAAGATAGTTCCGGTCCTTTGCGCGCTCTCTCATTGGGTGACCTTGGCCAGTCACTCTCAGTCTCAACCCTAGGAAGAAGAAGGAAATGACACATCACTTTCAACAACTTAGCGAGAACGGTGTAGGGATTTATCCAGGCAGTTGCCAGGAATCAAGATTGACTCAAAGGTAGCCACTCTCCCATTATGATACAAGTTTAAAGTACTGTATTTTTCAGACTATAAGACGCACCTAAATTTACAGGAGGAAAACAAGACAAGAATAGTTTTTGGCCTCCATGTGTCGCGTTTTTGCCCTCCCCGGCCCGCAGTACTCCGCACAGCCCGTTTTAGCCAAAAATGGGCCTGTTTTTGCCAAAAAGGGGCCATCTTTGGGCTCCCAAGCCCTCAGTGCATCACATTTTCGCCCTCCCAGGCCCCCTGAAGAACTCTGCAGGGTTCCACATGGCTGTCTTAGACAAAAATAGGCCCATTTCTGCCAAAAATGGGCCGATTTTGAGCTCCCAAGCCCTCCATGTGTTGCATTTTCGACCTCCCAACCCCCCAGAAGCACTCTGCAGTGCTCCGCAAGACCTGTTTTTGGCAGAAACGCACCATTTTTGGCCTGAAAGTGTTTCTGGGGGCCTGAAAGGACAAAAACACGACACACGGAGGGCTTGGGAGCCCAAAAATGGGCCATTTTTTGGCAAAAACAGGATGTGCGGAGCACTGCAGAGTGCTTCTGCGGGCCAGGGAGGGCAGAAATGCAACACACAGAGCAGAGGTGGTATTCAGCAGGTTCTAAACAGTTCTGGAGAACTGGTAGTGGAAACATTGAGTAGCTCAGAGAACTGGTAAATACCACCTCTGACTGGCCCTGCCCCCATCTATTCTCTGCCTTCCGAGTCCCAGCTGATCAGGAGGAAATAGGGATTTTGTAGTATCTTTCCCCTGCCACGCCCACCAAGCCACGCCCACTAAGCCACGCCCACCAAGCCACGGCCACAGAACCAGGAGTAAAGATTTTGAATCCCACCACTGATGCAGAGCGTTCAGGAGGCCAAAAATGCCCATATTCAGTCTATAAGATACACCTAAATTTTCACTCATTTTTACGGGGGAGGGGGGGTATAAGGTGCCTCTTAAACTCCAAAAAATACGATTTCTTTGAGCCAGAAAAGAGGTTTTTTTTAAAAAAAATCAGGAATAGTTATTTAAGTTCCTTCATCAATATTACTATGGTTATGATCTAATATCTAGTCTAATATTTGTGGATCTCTTTTTCTGCCCCAAAACTCTGAAAATAATTTTTCATCTCAGGACAAAGGATTTATAGAACTTGGTGTGATTTGCCATTGTATGATTTTGTTAACGATCATCGACAGTGGAATCACATCCATCCATTTAAAAGAGCTCTCCATATTAATTATTCCAACCGTGTGACCCTGTTAACTTCATTGGTTTTTCCTCCAACAGACAAAATAGTTCAGTTGACAGTAATGCACTAGATAAAACTTTTGCTGCACATGAATGGATCCATTATAAAGTTGCTCTTGGTTGGCATTTTAACCATAATAGCAAAACAAAGAAAATTATTTCGTCTACAGCTTCCCGAGCCTGAGATATGAGCTGCTGTACATCACTGAGTTGGTTACTCAAAAGTGGCAGATATTCATTAAATTTACTTATTTGTTCAAGAAGGGACGAACTCCAAAAACTAAACACAGTTCAAGGATTTGTGTAGAAAAAAGAAACAGTATATATTTCCTAATCTTTGTTCCTCTTTGTGCAAGACAGTACTGCCATTGAATACCAAAACCACATAATGAAGAGTCTATTGTGTTACCAAATGGGTTAGAGTCTTATACATCTTAACTTTATTTTCATAAGGATTATCTGGTGTTTCTCTTACATTTCAAGTACAAATTGCTAATGACAGGCAAATAGAATTTTTCTCACAATACTGCATGTAATGTGTTTTGAAAAGCTGAACGTTTATTTTTATTTTATTAAATTGTTTAGTAGCACAGATCTCTTTTTAAATGTATTAAATACCAGACCTTTGGAGAGAGAGAGAGAGAAAAAAACCTGTTAAGAAAAGACATGTAATTTATTCTTATTACTTTGATGGCATTTTCATCTTCCAGAAGTTAAAGAAAAGGAACAATAGAAGCAGCTATCCTTGGCTGCTTGATTACCAGGAAAAACCTAATTGTAAAATGCAAACCTTTGTTCGAAAATGATAAGGTTACCTTAAATTTATGCCACTCAGAGAAAGAGGGGAAACTAAGCATATCCAGACATTCAACCTGTATCTTAGCAAAGTGGACTGCAACATGTTTAAGGANATACATGTGATTGTATGTTATGAAAATGGAAATAAAAAATATGTTTTTTTAAAAAAAAGAGTTTCCAGAAAATTGAGGGTTGATTGATTGTTTGAACGGGGTCATGTGGAACTGCAAAATGAGGCAGAGGAAAGTTTCATGGGGTGGAACCAGCCGCAGAGCTCCAGGTGGTTTCACCTCTGCCAATCTAGTTCTTTTTGCCTACCTGCGTGACGATGAATGACTTGCGTTTAATTTTTGGGAACTGGCTCATATTTATGGCTAGTTGCAACATCCTGTAGTTAACATGAGTATAATTTGCAGGAAAGTCACAGGTGTACAACCGTTGTAAAAGGCGTCACTGATTACACGGTTGTAATTTACAACACTTGTTGCCATTGTCCAGAAACGTGCAAAAAAATTGTTGGCAACAATTTGGCACTTGTGCCCATTGTTTGACGAGCATGTGAATCACATCACCGTTATAGCATCCCCATATAGTCATGTCACAAAAATTCAGATGCTTTGGCAACTTCTGAGAAGCAGAGCCAGTCGGGTAACTGGATTCACTCAACAACTAGACTACTAACTTACCAACTGCAGCGATTCACTTAAGAACTCTGGTGAGAAAGGTCGTAAAATGGGGCAAAACTCACTTGACAAATGTCTCGCTTAACAACACGGGCTCAACTGTGGTTGTAAATCGAGGATCATCTGTATTACAGTTCAGTGCAAGAGAGTCTGGTAACTAACAAGTTGGTACCCAAGGCCTTGGCACAGCAAACTAAGCTGACTTTATACATTTTTCTCTTTCTTTTTTTACTTTCTGCCTGGTGTGTTTGTGAAGGCAGTCTATTAGGTTAGTTAATGGTTCAGTCCACTGTTCAAACCCAGAAAATGGATTAACCAAGTTAAGTCTGTTCTGCAAACTCTGCCAGGATGAAGTACTTAAAGGAGTTAATTCGCTCGGTCCTGCATAATCTTCTTTTAAGTAGGTTGCTTAAGGGACTTTCGAGCCAGTTCACTTTGGACCATCTGTTCTGTTTTCTTTTCCTGCCCTGTTGATTTATAGAATTAATAGTGGAAACACAGCTGTAGTGTTAGCGAGTGGGTGTCATCTAAATAAAATTAGGTTCTCTGTTTTTGACATTGTTGAGAAATGAGAGGTAGAGTCATGTGTTTTTTTTAAATTTCATCTTTAAAAAATGTGTCTTAAAACTGGGAGAACAAGAGGTGTAGAGGCTATAAATCAAGCCAGGCTTTTCCTTGGCTTACAGACGTACTTATTTTATTGGTTCAAACATATCAGTGCAAAAATACTTTAGTTTTTGTCTAAGCGTTTGATTTATTTCCCATTTCCTCCCCCTCTGAATACCAAGCAATATCCCAAACTTTGCTTCTCTTTCTTACTGAAGGAAAGCCCTCACTTATGACCACATCTGAGCCCAAAATTTCTCTTGCTAAGTGACACAGTTGTTAAGTGAGCTTTGCCCTGTTTTGCCACATCTCTTCCTATAGTCGTTAAGTGAACCACTGTGTTGTTAAGTTAGTAACACAACTCTTAAGTGATTCCGGCTTCCTCGTTGACTTGGCTTGTCAGTCGGTCACAAAAGGGGATCACCTGACCCCGGGACACCACAACCGTCACAAGTATGAACCAGTTGCCAAGCACCTGAATTTTGCAATCGTTGTAAGTGTGAAAAAGTCAGTTTTCCAGGGCCGCTTGACTTCTATCGGTCACTAAATAAGTTATAAGTCAAAGACTACCTGTACGCTGTATGCATTGTTTCTCCTATTATCTGCATTGTGTTTGGCCTTGATTACAACAAGCCAAAAGTTGGAAATAAGGTTTCTTTTGCTGGTTTGAGCTACCCACTTTTAAACGTAACTTGCATTCAAAGGTGCAGAGAGAGTATCAGATACAAGGGGTTAGCAGAAGCTTACAAAGTCCATAATGGATCTCTTTCCCAATGTCCTTTTTTTTGTTGGTTTTTCTTTTAATGGAAAGCATTAGTGTTCCGAATATTGAAAAAAAAAACCTGCCTATTATTATTTATTTGTTCCTTCGTTCATTCATTCATTCATTCATTCAGATTTATTAAAACTAACTCTCCTCCTCTCTTCCCCATTCTAGAGTATTTTATGGTTGAAAGGAAGGGACGCGGTAGCTCATGGGCTAAGACGCTGAGCTTGTCGATCAGAAAGGTCGGCAGTTTGGCGGTTCGAATCCCTAGCGCCGCGTAATGGAGTGAGCTCCCCTGACTTCTCCCAGCTTCTGTCAACTTAGCAGTTCAAAAGCATGTAAAAAAATGCAAGTAGAAAAATAGGGACCACCTTTGGTGGGAAGGTCACAGCGTTCCGTGCGCCTTCGGCGTTTAGTCATGCCGGCCACATGACCACGGAGACATCTTTGGATAGCGCTGGCTCTTTGGCATTAAAACGGAGATGAGCACGGCCGCCTAGAGTCAGGAACAACTAGCAGATATGTGCAAGCCATTACCTATGGTTGAAAGAGTACCCTGTTGAAGGACCTGTGCTTAATACTTTGCCTACTCTTTTCTTTGCTCAGGATGGAAGATACTTGGAATATTGGCCGTATTTTTGGTGATGGTGTGGTATACGATATCCCGGGAAGAAAGGTATATACCGCTGTGAGTGTATTTCTTAAAACAGCAGCAACTGGATTATAGGAAGTTCATATATTCTTTGAGTTCAGCTCCCCTCGTCTGATTGCTCACTTTTCTTCTTGAAATCTGGGGCTGGATCTGATGGAATACTCTTGAGTCACGGGAGGAAGATCCACAACCAAAACTACTATTAGATCAAAGAAATTTGAAACTGGGCCAGATCTATAATTCAAGTAAGCATCTCAGACAAACCCCACCTTTGTTTTAATGATAATAATAAAAGGAGAGATGGAGGAAGTACGTTCACACTTGCGAAATAAACTGCCCCCCTACTCCCATGCCCATCTCCCTTCCCCCTCCCGTGCGCTCCTCTTTCCCGCCCTGTCTACGATCCTGGCGCTTTGCCCCAAATCCATCAGGCGCTTCCCCATTGGTCCACTGGAGGGTGAACATCATGGCTGGTTTTCCAGATGAAGCTGTGAAGGAACTGACGTCACAAACAATTGCCGCTCTAGGACGGCGCACTCGCTCTCCTTAACGGCACAGGCGTTTCAGAGTTAAGCTGGAACACACACACACACACACACACAGTATTTGTTTCCAGAGATAAATCATCTGGGTACCAAGTTTGATTGACATTGCTTGAGGTGCTCCAGAGTTCTGCTGAAACATACATATATACATATATCAAATAAATAAAAGGAGAGATGAAGGAAGTATGTTCAGACTTGTAAAATAAATATTAGCCATGGCAGTAGTCTAAAGCAGAGAACTACCACACTAATACTACACTTATTGTGAGGTTACAATAATTATTGTAATTGAAGTCTTGTGCATTGCCCCTCCCCTTCCTATGTTCCAGAGAAACACACAGAGGGCTAATTCTGAGATCCTTATTTACATACCTAGTGTAGAATCATTTTTTGTTTATCAGACACAGCCCATTGTGGATTTTGTTGCTACAACTCTGTAATAAAAGTTATGCCAGTTTGCATGATTTTGCTTTCCTAGGCTGATCTATCTTGGAGGACTGATGCCATGCAATTGCTTGTAAAAGCAGGAAAATAATCATAGTCAATACCCTATTTTTTCCCCCAAACAATTTTACCAAAATCTTGTTTGGAATTACCTATATCCTTAGGCACTACCTTGATATTTCTTAGGTCCTCGGTTCGGATTTGGATTGTTTAGTTTTCCCCAATTTCAAGATTATGAATCTGACTGTAGATTAATACTATTATTACTAAAAGTACTGCTAATATAATAAGAATCTAACTGCATTGTTTAGTTCTCCCCAATTTCAAGATTATGAATCTGACTGTAGATTAATACTATTATTACTAAAAGTACTGCTAATAATAATAATAAGAATCTAATTGCATTGTTTAGTTTTCCCCAATTTCAAGATTATGAATCTGACTGTAGATTAATACTATTATTACTAAAAGTACTGCTAATATAATAAGAATCTAACTGCATTGTTTAGTTTTCCCCAATTTCAAGATTTTGAATCTGACTGTAGATTAATACTATTATTACTAAAGGTACTGCTAATAATAATAGAACTTAACTGCATTGTTTAGTTTTCCCCAATTTCAAGATTTTGAATCTGACTGTAGATTNCGAGGTGGGTGAAATGAGGACCCAGACTGTGGGGGGCGATATGCTGACTCTGTAAACCGCTTAGAGAGGGCTGAAAGCCCTATGAAGCGGTATATAAGTCTACTGCTATTGCTTCCGAGGTGGGTGAAATGAGGACCCAGACTGTGGGGGGCGATATGCTGACTCTGTAAACCGCTTAGAGAGGGCTGAAAGCCCTATGAAGCGGTATATAAGTCTAACTGCTATTGCTATTGCTATCATGAGGTACCTCAGGTGATAGTCCACCTTTTCTGCAAAGCCTACTTCCCAACAGTTCCCAGCGTCTTTGGGCATGCTGGAGGCATCTAGAAGACTCCCAGGCTGGAATTTGCATCAGACCTCTCCTTCCTGAGCTGGTATATGCGCCATCTGTGCCTGGAAAAGATACTGGTAAATAAAACGAAGTTCCTCATTATGTGAAGGAGAACAGAAGGAGATGCCAGTTCATATCTTCTGTTCCACTGAGAAACAGAGGAAACAGACATCTGCAGATTGAGTCTAAATAGTATTATGGAATTATATCAGTGAAACCCTGCTCTCTGTCCTCATCTTCCTCCACGCTCCAGGTCTAATGGTACCCTGGATCCAATTTTTTTTACCCTGTCTTACAGCCATCTTCAGAAATGCTACCATTCCAAATTTCAGCACAGACTCTATTTTGAGGGATTAGAGGCAGACTCAAAGCTATGAAGACAGATATGCTTGCATTTTATGTCCCAGAGCTTAAAAATTGCTTTGTGCTGCCTTTTATTAGTTGCATTTGATTCTCATTGTTATATATATATAGCAATATAGTGATCTTACTCTTACAGTAACTCAGCTTGAAAACTACACGTGGTAAGCAAATTTAGCATTCAAATACATTAGCTTGGATTCTAGCCCATGGTGCAATTTTGCAAATGCATTTCAAATGTCACTAAATATAAAATTCTGTCTAGGTGTACCAAATGCCTTGGTAATCAGCCTGCAGCTAAATATAGAACACTGGTGCTTTGCATACACCGGCATGAATCCTCTGGCGCAAAACCGTGTAGTACGCAACTTAGTTTGCCTCAAGAAACTTTCTGTGAATAAGGAAGAAAATCACCTCTGAGATTACCGCATGAACCTCTACACCTATCAGAAGTGACCTTGAACTCAATAATTCTGGGGCCACCTGCATTTCTTCCAGTGAATCTCCTTAGTGTAAAGAGGCATGCATGCAGTCAATTGTCGCTACAATACTTAAAACAGTTCCATTTAAAGTTTTGGTGGACTAAAACCTTTTAAGCGACAGCCTACCAGAGAAGCCTCCCTTATCTGGGAATAAATTAAGGTTGATTTAATCAACCAGGCTTATTGCTAAGCATTGCATTGTTCTGTTAATCATAGCCAAAATATCTCAGTGGAGATATTGCAGATATTATTGGAGATATTAATTTTCCTGATAGTGCAGGAAAATTATCTGGAGCGAAAAAATGTTGTATATGTGGCACTACTGTCAGGAACACTCTGGTCTTAGTAGCTGTTAGCTTATCCTAATAAATAATTTAATTTTAATAATAAATTTAATAAATAATCCTACAAGCAAGTTCATGCTTACCTAGAAGAATAAAGCTCACACACCCCATTCCTACAACACATTTATCTGGATTACATGAGGGATAGCCAATCATGTAATCATCCTAATCGGAATAATTGATACCATCAACTAAAAGCTGAGGTAGTTTTTGCTTAAAGTAACACCATCTATATTCCGATATTTGGCATAAATTTAGGATGCGGAACCTCAGGACATTAATTCTACAAAGAAAAAAACTATATGCAGCTAGAGTGACCTCCTCTTCTGTTTCTGATATTCAGGCACTTATTGCCATCCCAGATATATATTTTCAAAATTATTTCATCCATCTCTAAAAGAATTACCAATAACCTGTAAGGTTTTTAAAAAATGCAAGGGAGACTGGAAGGGGAGGGAAAAATAACGAGGGAGGAACACCTCCAAACATGTTCAATGGCCATGAACTGAGTGGTGCAAAGAAAATTTGACAAAAAAAGGAATAAAGGAGCAGAGCTCAATCTCTGGAAATCTGAAAACAAATAGGAAACATTGCAACAAAAAAGTGAGGACATTTAGAATTCATCAGCAGAAGAATGACAAAATGCTTCAAAGTAGCCTAATTATGTAATATTCCTAGAATTGTATTTATTTATTTATATTTCATGTTTCTAGACCACCCATCTCCCTTAAGGATTTGCCTTTGTCTAGCTGTGAGACCGCTGATTTTGAGTGATCTAAACAAGAAGTTAAATTAATACCGAGCTAGTACTTAGGTAGCAGAATACCAGGGAAACTCCAAGGTTGTTGAAGAAGACAACAACGAGAAATCATCTTCACATTGTAGCAAAGAAAATTCCTTGATCAGGAATAAAGGCTCAGTAGATGAGCCATTGAACTGATGCATGCAGAGTAATATGTACGTAATAATGCAATCACAAACAATTGTGTAAAAATAATATCTTTTATACTTAAAATACCGTACTTCAAACCTGATTTACTCAATCTTCCTTGGCAGTACAATAAGCAAGAGTATGGTATATATGTAGATAGCATCTGAGGGAAATTGAATGGGCAACAAAATACTACAAAATATTATTTCGGAAACCAAGATAGGCATAATATTTGTGATGTTATAATCCCATTAAAGAAAATGGCACACTTACAGAGCAGAACAAAACTTCAGGCTCTGTAACAGAAGATGTTTTCATAGTAACTATTCAACACCACCTGTCCCACAACTGTAGGAAAATAATCAGTGCATATGTGAATGTCACGTGTGTGTGTTACAATTAACGCAACCCCAAAATAACCTTGGAATGCAAATATATTTTGTATTCTTTTTGCATTGGTTTTAAAAGAGGCAAAGTTGCTGTTCTTATTGAGGAGTTGATTGTGTGGTTTGACCCTCAATGTAATAATAATAAAATATATCTCCTGTGGCAACCACGGTTTAATTTATCTTGGCCATGTTAGATATTCTTATCATTTTTTTAGTATCTGGAATTGTGAATACAAGCATTCCAAATTGCAGAATTTTGTTGTACAAGGCTATTGCAGATATTAAACCTGTTCACGCATACATTATATGCACCCTTTATTTAAATTTTAAAAAAAACATTTTCTTCTTCGTTAGTTAGGATTCCAATTTTCCAGAGTATATGGGACTATTTCCACATTCTTCCAGGCAGAGAAATCTCCATCATTATGTACAACTAATCAAGCAACGCAAAGGCATAGCTTAACATTCGAATCCATTATTAAGAACAATGCCAAATTATTAGACTATTTAATCAAAAAGGAAACCCTCCCTTGAGGCCACTTTGCTAGTTTCATCTTCGTCTATTCTCTAAGAGTTAATGCTGCTTGACCCCACCCGCTGATCTCTTAATAAATGAGTTGGCAGAGAGTCCTCTAATTGTTATACTGTTCATTATTTGCCAGCAGGGATTTTTAAAAAAAATGCAGAGATTTATCAATGCTCCCCCTTAAAAAACAAAAACCCTCCCTGTCTTGTATTTATGATCTAGTCTAGTGATGGGAAAATAAGTTACGCAAGCATAATGTATTTTTTCCTTATTTTTTTATTTTTATTTTAGTGTGCATCTGTTGTTCTATTAACATTATATTAATGTTAATATCTGGGGAATGTATTATTACAAAAAGTCATGTTTCACTTTATTAAGAACTATTTAATAGCAATGGTTGTCTATGGTTAATGGAAATTGTACATGGGGGGACTCCAACCTACGCCACTTTAAGACTTGTGGACTTCAACTCCCAGAATTCTTCAAACAGCATCAACATCAACTCTGATTGTTGCTTCCAGGTGAATGGAGTGTCATTGTTTTGTTTTTTTGCACTGAGGTTTTATCTTTGTAAGCTGTCCAGACTCACCAAAGGTGAGTTAGGTGGCTAAATAAATAAATGAACAAACAAAATAAATAAAAAGCAAACTTTGAAGGGATTCCCAGACCCTTTTCTTTATGAACTACTAGCTGATAACCGGGCATTGTCTGGGTGTTTATTTATAGAGGGGAAATGTCTGGACCAAACGTAATTTCATAATGTTGGATTTTTCCCCTTACCAGAGGGAGCCCTCTTGGGGAGTACTCTGAAGCCTTTACCATGCCAACTCCACTGTGCTGTACAGTAGAAGCCATTTTATAGCAGTACAGTAGAAGCCATTTTAT